AAAGAGTATAGGATAAATGGTATAGGGTAACAGTGGGGTATGATACTAGTGGTGTAGGATAACTGGTGTAGGATGCTAGTGGTGTAGGATAACTGGGGATAGGATAATAGTAGTGTAGGATAACTGTGGTGTAGGATAACTGTGGTGTGGGATAAGTCTGGTGTATAATTACTGTGATGTAGAATAATAGTGGTGTAGGATAACTGTGGTGAAGGATAACTGTGGTGTAGGATACTAGTGGTGTAGGATACCAGTGGTGCAGGATACTAGTGGTGTAGGATACCAGTGGTGCAGGATACTAGTGGTGTAGGATACCAGTGGTGCAGGATACTAGTGGTGTAGGATACCAGTGGTGTGATATACAAATAGTGTATGATATAAGTTGTGTAGGAAACCAGTGATGTAGGATACTAGTGGTGTAATATACCAGTGGTGTAGGATACCAGTTCTGTAGGATACCATTTGTGTAGGATATCTGGTGTAGGATAACTGGTGTAGGAAACCAGTGGTGTAATATAACTGTGGTATAGGATAACTGTGGTGTAGGATAACTGTGGTGTAGGATAACTGTGGTGTAGGATACTAGTGGTGTAGGATAACTGGTGAAGAATACTAGAGTTATAGGATTGTAGTGGAGTAGGATACCAGTGGTGTAGGTAACTAGTGGAGTAAAATACTAGTGGTGTAGGATACTAGTGATGTAGGATGACTGATTCGTTGTGGAAGTGGCGAGTCTTATGTGACTATTATCTTCTCGTAGATGGTGGAGTCGTTCAATTGGGGTAGAGCTTGAAGAAGATAGGTAAGATGGCATTATCCTGTTGATATATCGTTTTGCATAGGTTTATTTTTTTTATTGTTTATTAAGTGTGTAGCTTGAGAGAAGGAGAGTGAGGCGGAATCGTAGTGTATTCTTGTGTAGTCGAGTAGATGAATGGGGAAAATGGATGCTGTTTACGAGAATTGAGGAATGGTGATGTTGATAACGAGTTGATCGTGTAACGTGGATGAGAAGAATTTAGGTCTGGTCGAGTAGTCGAATTTATAGCTTGGTAGAGTTTTTATATTCTTGCGTAGTCTAGTATATGAAACGGGCGAAGTAGTGCTTTTGATTAGTGTTTACTTTACGAGAGTTTAGTAATAGTGAAGTTGTTGGTATCAAGTTTATTGTGTAGCGAAGATGAGTAAAGTTTTTAGTAGTTAATCTTGGAGAGATTTCGAATAGTCGAATAGATTTGACGGTATCGTGACCGCTTAAACATACATATACCCATCAGAGCGCCACGGGTCTGTCCAATGTCCGTAACATAAAGAGCAACAGAATCCATGCGAGATCCACGATCACGCTTTTTTATAACATACATATGTTGAGGCAAAACCTCTGTCACAATTTTTTTTAAAGTTTGGATCCCGTCCCCGGAATGTTGCCCGCAATTAATTTCATGTGTACATGAAATATGTTAGGGAACATAATGCATTTTCAGCATCTAAAACATTGCACCAACCAACCTTCTAGACTAATATCAAATTTAGCTCCAACCATCCTCCATTGTCCGAGACGTTTTATGAAATTTTCTAACACTTTCACACAAAATCTACACTCGCTAGACAAAACATTTTAAAATCTTCCTTTTTTTTGATCCGATAACTTTGATTTCTAGTTCGATTATTCAAATCAAATGTTTGTGAAAATAAATAAGCTAAATAAACTAAATCGGCCATTTCAGAGAGAAAAATACGTTACTCAAAATGTGACTGAATTTTATCAAAACGTTTACGTTATTCGTAAATTGTGTCAGTGTTATATAAGTGTATTTAGAGTTAGCACCCATGGCATGTAGGCAAATTAACCAGATTTTTTAGTGACATTTAAAAAACGCATAAATTTCGTTAGTCTTGGTGTCTGTGGCCATTATATTTCTGTAATAAAAAATAGTTATTAAATAACTTTCTGCATAGCTGTTTTGTAATGACGTAATTTTTCTTCATTATAACTTAACGAGTTCTAATTCATTATCATACTTCTCTAATCCACCGTGTTTAGTCTACCTTACCTTCTATTTTACGTTAACACCTAATTTAAACACACACCAACAGTTTAAGTGATTTACAAACATTAAACAGTAAAACCATTAATAAGTTTTGCTTTATTTATTCACTTATTTTCAGGCGGACACTGTAAATGCGTATAGGATATTCAAAATAAAATTCTTAATATAGCTTTGTATTTGCGAGTGTGACGATGGAATAAAAGTGATAGAATAAACACTTAAAGTGATGTATACAAAGATTATCTAGTAGTAAGTAGACATTGAAACCTATACAAAAATGTTGAACTGTGGGTCGTAGCACTAGATCTTTTTTATGGGAACTAAATCGTTCTTTGTTATAGTGATGGGAACAAAACGTGAATAGCAATAGTCATGTCCCCAGTGGGATATTCTCGTGAAGTACTTAGGCAACTCAGTGAGTCTTTTTTCATTTCGTGTGTCATTATTGGGATTGTTTCCCAAAATTATTAGTTTACTTTGAAAGGTTAAAGCACCATGCAGCTTCTTCCTAAAATTCCAAAGTTTGACAAGAAATTTAAATTCAACACTACCGGTGCCAGATGTGTAATCTACCTGCCACAAACTGCCATTTGTCTGTAAAATGTAATCGTGCTGGTCATTTTTAAAACTATTCAGCTGTTCAGCTGGTCCATCAAGATTGTCTAATCTGGTCCAAACTTTGGACGAAATCTCAAATTTATGGACGGCTATCTGCTCTACACCATTCACAGATTCAGAGCAAAATAATAGAAGGATGTTTTCCAGAACCATTACATGTTTTACTTCAACATTATTTGAAGGAAATTCTGTAATTTTTTCTTAATTTGGTTCACTTTTTTTTAGGATTTATGCTATATAAAACTGTATCGTCTTTGTTTACGATGTAGATAAAGTCTCCGTGTAAAACCAATAACAAATTGGGACTTGGCAATTCTAAGAATTCCTTCCAGCTTTTCCACATAAAACTGATTTCGATATGAAGTGTTTCCCTGTTGCATAAAGTTCACCATCAAAAATGACGAGTTGAATGTTTTCTTTCAAATATTTACATTGTGTAATACTAAACTGTTGCTCTTTGTCAGCAGTTATTATTTAAAACATCCCACCACCATATGCATTAACACCAGCATTTGTGTACCCTCTACAAGATCTGTGTAAAGCCGATGATGATCACTGACCGTGTCTAAGCTCTTGGACATGATATGACATGGCGACCAGAATCAATTCTCTCGAATGTTCAATTTCAGAAAACAGTCTCAACTTATCTTTTCTAGAAGACTTTACGGGATCAATTGAATGAGCAGTGTGTACTTCATGCATTGCTCTACCTATTGTCTTATTAGAATTTCTTAAGCAATTATTACGATGAAGTCCATCCTCACTTTCTTTAATTTCCTTTGCTTCATCACTGGATAAACTGATATTAGTCTTTACAGTGTTACCGCTGATTGTATGGTCCTCATTTGAATTCTGATTTAGCTGATTTCCGTCAACATATTCAACCACTCGTATCACAGATTCAAGAACTAAATCATCTTTACTGACAACGAGATCTTGGCTGTTAATCAAATCCTTAGTTTCCTTGAACGAAAGTTGTAGAAATGTTTTTCAACATGAATGTATGGATCTTATCTAGCACTTTTACTGAACCCAAAACCTTTGCATGTAGATAAATGTTTTCCCAGGTGTCCAATGAACATGATCTGATAGCAAACTCCTCGCAAAAAATTAACCATAACTTTAACATGTAGCATATGTGCCGCTTGCCACACTTCAAAAAAATTGTCTAAGGTTAACAGACTTGTTCCACTGTATATAGTATTGATGATTAAGCGGAAAACTTCACATGAAACAACTTTTAGCACAACACAGTTTTCTGTGACTTCTTTCATACCAGATCTGAACAGCGCCTTGAAAAATTCTGAACACGTCGCTAGGATGAGACGATGACATTGGATGGTTTCATCCTGAACTTTTACAGCGAAGTCGAATAAGATTTTCTCACTCCACACATTCTCCAGACTCTGGACGATCTGGAAACAAACCTCTTATTTGCCCATCGTGTTTACAAAGTTCAGATGTTGACAATGCAAAGTTTATTCTTACTTCCGAAAAAAAGGTAGTGCTTTGTTGGTGCCTCAGAAATAAATATAAATCCGAGTAATTTCATTGTGCAAAATTAAACTCAATAAAAAATAATTGCTATTACAGTTAATTTTAATTGACAGTTGTGTGTTTTTAGAGTTCGGCGTATTCAATTATTTTACTCTTTCAATGCAATTCTTATCTCTTCTTACGCTGATATATATATATATATATATATATATATATATATATATATATATATATATATATATATATATATATATATATATATATCATTTATATAAAGTGATGTATTAGAAGAAGATCTAAAATAGAATTTAAAACGTAATTTTAATAATATGGATTTCGAGTGGTAAATCTCTTGCTACAGTTTGGTTACGGGACGTAACCAATTCTTTGTTGTTGTGATAGGAACAAAACTTGATTTGCACGAGTCATTTCCCCAATATGATATTCTCGTAAAGTGCTCAGGTAGCTCGAACCTTTTTTTTTCATTAGGCGGGTCATTACGGGAATAATTTGCTAAAATTATTAGTCTACTTTGAAAAGTTAAAGCACCATACAGCTTTTTTGTAAAATTCCAAAGTTTGGCAAGAATTTTAAATCCAATACTACCGGTGCCACAGGAGTAATCTACCAGCCACAAACTACCATTTGTCTGTAAAATGTACATGAGTTTGTCATTTTTAAAACTAATCAGCTGTTCAGCTGGTCCATCAAGATTGTTTAATCTGGTCCAAACTTTGGACAAAATCTCAAATTTATGAATGGCTATCTGCTCTACGCCATTCACAGATTCAGAGCAAAATAATAGAAAGAAGGTTTCCAGAGCCATAACATGTTTTACTTCAACATCATTTGAAGGAAAATCTGTAATTTTTCTAAATTTGGTTCCCTCTTTTTAGGATCCACGCTATATAAAACTTTATCGTCTTTGTTTATGATGTAGATAAAGTCTCCGTGTGAAACCAATAACAAATTGGGACTTGGCAATTCTATGACTTCCTTCCAGCTTTTTCCACAGAAGACAAACATTCGATATGGAGTGTTCCCCACTTCTTTACCTGTAGCATAAAGTTCACCATCAAAAGTGACGAGTTGAATGTTCTCTTTCAAATATTTACATTGTGCAATATTAAACTGTTGCTCTTTGTCAGCGATTATTATTTCGAATATCCCATTACTACCATAAGCATAAATTCCAGCATTTGTGTACTCACTACAAGATCTGTGTATAGCCGCTGAAGACCACTGACCGTGTCTAAACTCTTGGACATGATTAGACATGGCGTCCAGAATCAATTCTCTCGAATGTTCCATTTCAGAAAACAGTCTCAACTTAAGAACTCGATAGAAGGCAGCATGACTAACCAGGCATGTTCTGACTTGCATTAACAGTTCTCTAAATTTATCTTTTCTAGAAGATTTTACATGACCAATTGAATAAGCAGTGTGTACTTCATGCATTGCTCTACCTATCGTCTTATTAGAATTTTGTAAGCAATTATTACGATGAAGTCCATCCTCACTTTCTTTAATTTCCTTTGCTTCATCACTGGGTAAACTGATATTAGACTTTACCTTGTTACCGCTGATTGTATGGTCCTCATTTGAATTCTGATTTAGCTGATTTCCGTCACCATATTCAACCCACTGTATCACAGATTCAAGAACTAAATCTTCTTTGCTGACAACGAGATCTTGGCTTTTAATCAAATCATGCGTTTCCTTGAAAGAAAGTTGAAAAAATGTTGTTGAATGTCTAATTTGTTCAAAGTTTTTCAACATGAATGTATGGATCTTATCTAGCACTTTTACTGAACCCAAAACCTTTGCATGTAGATAAATGTTTTCCCAGGTGTCCAATGAACATGATCTGATAGCAAACTCCTCACAAACATTAACCATAACTTTAACTTGTAGCATATGTGCCGCTTGCCACACTTCAATAAAATTGTCTAAGGTTAACAGACTTGTTCCTGTGTACATAGTATTGATGATTAAGCGGAAAACTTCACATGAAACATCTTTTAGCACAACACAGTTTTCTGTGACTTCTTTCATTCCAGACCTGAACAGCGCTTTGAAAAATTCTGAACACGCCGCTAGGATGAGACGATGACATTGGATGGTTTCATCTTGAACTTTCACAGCAAAGTCAAATAAAATGTTTTCATTCCACACATTCTCCAGACTCTGGACGATCTGGACACAAAATTCCTTTTTGTTCATCTTTTTATCGTAGATCGGATGTAAATAATAAAATAAAATGCGGCTTTTTCTGACCAGATAACAGTAGTGCTTTATTGGTGCGAAAGAAATTTCAATGCAACTTCGTTAACCATAGTGCGCAAAATTAGATAGGTATTTTAATGATAGGCATGACAGTCTTTGTAATCACCCCAAATTTTTAAAGCAACATTTTTAAAAAATATTGCAAGCGATAACATCACTATAACATATGTAAAAATTAAAGCCTTTTTGGAACCATCGATTACACTCAGTTTTTATAAGTTTCTATCGAATATAAGCCTTTTGAAAAGCTGTTTGGAATTATTTTAACTGTTTGAATAATTTAAAAAAAAAAACTGACCTCAACCTCTCAATGAAGTCAACCGAGAGTAAAACAATAAAAGTGAGAACCATTGTTTTCCATAATAAAAATACACAGTAGTGATGTATGGTGTATAGCGTTGTATTGTATTTATATTAAATAATATAACATTAACATCTCCAATCACCACAATACTCTGACTCTACTAATCCAAATAAAAAATAAAAGTTTTTGCTAAATTAGTATTAACTTACTGGTAATTATTTATTTGACTATGTCTAGCTTTATTGAAACCGGAAGTAATTTTGTACTTAATACACAAATGTTATAAAATATTAAATTTTGGTTTAAAAAAAATACTTTCTGGAAACAAAAATTTGGAAACATTTAGAACCAGCTTTTCAAGTCTATATCTATTTTATAAATTAACTTACTGGTAATTATTTCTTTGACTATTTCTAAGCCTTAACGAAACCGGAAGTAATTTTATACTTATTACACAAATTTTATAAAATATTCAATTTTGGTTGAAAAATATCCTTTCTGGAAACCAAAATGTGGAACCATTTGGAACCAGCTTTTCAAGTCTATAACTATTTTATAAATTGCAAGTTGTTTTCCTTTGAACTACAACCTATCTCTAATTAATTTTTAACAAGCCTTCTATACCGATTGTTTTGAATTCGGCTCCCGTCGCGAGAATGGTCTTAGGCGCTTTGACCACAGGTGCTTTGACCATAAGGGGTTTGACCATAGGGGGTTTGACCACAGATGACCTTTGACCAAGGGGGGGGGGTAACTTTAATATACAGATTTTAAAATAGAAATTAGAAACTGTTATTTGATTTAAATTTATGATACTATTCATACGATTTTATTCATGTTTCCCGAGAGTCCATTAATTGAAATTAACATGTTCTAAAAAATCAACAACCATATTTTAGTCTCTACATAAAGGCTGGTGCTAGGCCTCATAGATTTATTTTAAGTATAAATATAAATGGAACACAAATAATGAGAGATAAAAAGATTCACAAATAAATAATGTAGATGTATCTGAAAATACATGACATATATAAAGGATAAAAAAGTATGCTAACAGCATATTCAAAGAAGTAATCTATAATATAAGCGGGCAAGTAGTGTGTCAGTCCTTCCTTCCTTCCTTCCGTCATCGCTATAGCTTTTAGAACCATAAAAGTAAACATTCGCACCACGCAGTGCTTTTCAGTGCACCGCAGTGTCTTATTATAAGTATTAGAGTAGGGTTTGTTTATATAGTGGCATAGAGCTATTTTATAATTTCCACTGTTTGTACAATTTTGCATAACGTAAAGAAAATATTAAATACACGCACATTGCTAAAACATATTAAAAGGATCAATGTCAAATATAGTTTTCGTTAATATTCCTAGAAAAAGTGGATACATTTTAATAACATAATAACAGTACGGTAGAAAAATCAAATTAATTTAACTCTTTTTTTCTAATTTTGACAAAGGAGGTAATTTAAAAATACATTAAACTCACGCTAATAAAAAATGTGAATGCAAATATACGTTCGTCGTAGAAGGAATTAGTGTTGCAATAATATAATTAGCAAAATGTGAATGCAAATTATTCGGATGTGTAAGAGGAAATTATTGTTAGAAAATTATAATTAGCATGGATTGATAAAAGGCAATCTTTTATTTATTTTATTCACTGAATGTAGGCCCTACTGTTTATTACTTATAATTTTTAATCAACTATTCAGCACTATTATAGACGCGTCATCACGTTCATTAGGTGCGCAATGGTTTTAGTTATGAAACTCTTTTGTAAATTTTTAAAATTTAAAGTACTGGAAAAAAAATGCGTGAATGGATAAAGTGAAATAGTGTAGGTAAAACACGGTATTTTAAATACGGCTTATTATTTATACTGTTTTCTAATTATTATTCTATCTTTCGGGTTTTATAGGAGAGGCGTAGCGAGGGGGGGGGGGGGCATATGTCCCCGGGTGCCGACCTTAAGGGGCGCCAAAGTGGGTTGGAAAAAATTTGCGGAGGGGGGGGGTGGAAATCGAAAGTTTTAGGGCGGGTGGGTGGAAGGGGTGCAAATCGAAAGTTTGAGGGGGTTGCAAATCACCGGAAAGGGCGCGATTTGGCGCTACGGCTAGACTGTGAGCAATGTGCCTTTATGATTGCATTTAAATTGTGTTAATGTTATGAGTGTTGTGTTTGTTTTTTCGTTTTTTTTTTTTTTCGTTTGTGTTGTGTTTAGTTTTGTTCTTTACCCAAGTTGGTACATTTAAAAAAGTTTTACCGTGGCGGAGCACGGGATGCAGCTAGTACTTGTATGGTTAACTAAATGACAGATGTGCTATAGCACGGAAATATGTCTGTACATCTGTATGACCATATGTCTGAACAGCACGTTGTAGTTTTTTGTTTATCATACTGTATAGCTTCTCAGCAGGGTAGCCTGCACCTGCGACACCTTGCAAGAAAGTTGTCTATTTTCGTATGCAGTCTATATGTAGACCTTTAAGGAAACGTCACATTGTTTGGTGACTACATTGGAGGAGAGATTGAAGACTGTAATGCCATCCTTCACAAATGTTATTTTTTCGTGCTATTCCATTGCTAATAGTGTGTATTTGATTCCAGTTTTTAAAATTAATCCGTAACATATATGGACGAAGCGCTTGTTATCAAACGCCCGCATTGGACAAACCACCTGTGATCAAAGACCATTTGCTGAGAAAACACTTTTTGTCAAACCCCCTATGATCAAAGCCCCTATGGTCAAAGCCTCGATGTGGCCAAAGCCCCTATGGTCCAAGCCCCTCTGTGGTCAAACCACCTACGGTCAACCCCCCTATGGTCAAAGCACCTGTGGTCAAAGGTCCGCGCACCCATAACAACGCGAGAATGTAGCGCGTCATTAATTAAATCCAGCTTTGAAGTGTACATGACGTATGTTAAAAAACATAATGCACGCTGAGCGTATAAAATATTGCCCAAAATAATCTTCTAGGCTGATACATTTTATCTATAACCAACCTTCTAGACTAATACGTTTTAGCTCTAACCAACTTTCAAGACTAATACACTTTAGCTCTAAACAGCCTTCTAGACTAGTACACTTTAACTCTAATCAACTTTCTAGACTTTAAAAAATTAGCTCTAACCAACCTTCTAGACTAATACGCTTTAGCTCAAAACAACTTTCTACACGTATAAACTTTAGCTCTAACCAATTTTCAAGGCTATATAGACTTTAGCTCTGAATATTCTCCTTTTTGTAACATATTTTCAAACATGGTCTACACTCACTCGACAATAGTCAAACAAGCATACTTTTTTTAAAGATCCGTTAACTTTGATTTTTACTTTGATCATTTCAAATGTGAGTCAAAATAAATAACGTTTTTAAAATCTAAATCAGCCATTTCAGAGAGAAAAATACATTAACCAAAATGTAAGAGAATGTAATCAAAATGTTTATTTTATTCGCGAGTTGGTGTTAGAGTTGTAGAAAGTTTATTAAGAGTTATCACCGATGGCTTTTGAACAAATAAAACAAATTTGTTCCCTGAAATTGTTACAGAATCGCATACATTATTTAAGTCAAATACCGCAAACGCTCTAAGTGTCTGTCAAAAAATTTTCTGTATAAAAAAAGGCTATTCGATAACTTTCTGAATCGTTGGTTTGGTGACCACTTAAGTTTGCCTTAATTCAAACTTAACGAGTTCTAGTTCATTACCATACTACTCTTCTCATCCATGTATACTCTACATTACTCGTCCCGTCAATTAAATCTCCTCCACAATCTACCCTCACTCAAAACAAACACACACACACATACATCCACAGTTTAAGTGATTTATAAATATTAAATGCAACAGTGACTCCATTAATAAATTTTGTTTTATTTATTTAATTATTTTCAGGGGGAATAAATGAATAAACGTATAAACTATTCAAAAACAAAATTAAACTGTAGTTTTGTATTAACGAATATTTGACTATCGTATAAAAATGATAAAAAAAACATATAGTGATATACAAAAGGATGATCTAGTAGACCAAACGACGATTAAACCTATACAAAAATCTTGAACTGTGTGTCGTCACACGCATTTCATATATTCCACACTAGACCTTTTTTACGGGAACTAAATCATTCTTTGTTATGTTGATGGGAATAAAATTTGAACAGCAAAAGTTATTTCCCCAGTGGGATATTTCCGTAAAGTGCTCATGAAGCAAAGGGAGTTTTTTTTTTCATTACGTTTATCATTGTTGGGTTTGTTTCCCAAAATTATTAGTTTACTTTGAAACGTTAACGCACTGTAAAGTTTCTTTCTAAAACCCATTTTTTGTTATTGCGATAGGAACAAAATTTGATTTGCACGAGTCATTTCCCCAATATCTTATTCTCGTAAAGTGCTCAGGTAGCTCGTATATTTTTTTTCCAAAAGGCGGGTCACTACAGTAGTTGTTTCCCAAAATTATTAGTTTACTTTGAAAGGTTAACGCACCATAAAGCTTCTTTGTGAAATTCCAAAGTTTGGCAAGAAATTTAAATTCAATACTACCGGTGCCAGATGTGTAATCTACCAGCCACAAACTGCCATTTGTCTGTAAAATGTAGTCGTGCTGGTCATTTTTAAAACTAATCAGCTGTT